CTTTTTCTTTTTCTTTTTCTTTTTCTTTTTCTTTTTCTTTTTTAAATTCCAAACACTCTCAATTCAAGTCCCCATTGGTGGTTGGGGACAATAGATAATACATCCATTATGGACAATAAGATATATAGTGATCTATTTTATTTTGAACTCTGTATCTATTTCACATAGAGCCAAAGAGGCACTTGGTGCATGTGTCCGTGTGTCATCAGACTGTAAATCTGTGTTCTCCAGGCTACTGTTGTTGTTTAGTATGAACATCATTCCTGAAGATGAGGAGAACAAATACAATGGACAATCACAGCAACTGTATGTGCAGTGTATATTCTACTTTGCTATCTGTAATTTTTAGTGGACTTAAACATTTTTTAAAATGTATTAAATAAAATAAATGTGAATATTGAATGGGTAGAACTGTGGTGAAATAATGATAGATGTGTTGATCATCACAATGAATGAGCGATCTAAGCGAATGCTGTAAAGAAAGACTTGAAAATATTATTTCAAGCTTCAATGGGAATYGAACCCATGACCTCCGTGATGCCGGTGCGATGCTCTACCAACTGAGCTATGAAGCCAATCCTGTTGGTGAGCGGTCATTTTTGTTGGGTTCATCAAGCCACTATATGTAATAACATTATTGCGTTATTACAAGTCTTTCTTTACAGCGTTCGCTTAGATCGCTCATTCACTGTGATGATCAACACATCTATCATAAAATAAATGATGCATCAACTTTAGAGGATGGCACTTGACACTAATTCAACTGATAAACTTGTGGTCCTCTTTGAGCGTCTCTGCATGTAGTTTATTAATATGGTCATCTGAGCCACCAGATGGTTCAACCATTTGCAGATGTAATAACAAAGGCAGCACCTTCTCCTTAGTTATTTCAAGATCCTGAGTGTTGGTCAGGCCAGGACTTGAGCCATGACCTCGTGACAAGAGACCGATGCTCTTGCCAATGAGCTAACTAGTTGGCAGTTATGACAGTATAACATCATCACCATCACAACTATGCACCACCACATCACAAATAATCATTCATCATTATCATCATCAATTATTATCATTAGTATCACCATCATCACTATCAGAGCTGACATAAGTTAGATAACTCAATGGGCTATAAATACATCAACATACATGTATTTAAATAAAGTTTATCATCATCGTCATCATTATCATCATCATCATCAACTGTAACTAGGGTTACCCCACCCCACCCCAAGGACCCCCAAAATGGGTTGTCATATTAACTGAAGATAAATTTTTACCAGGTCAACCATTATGCTAGTCAACATGGGAAAACTTGTGTATCCACAATACAGTATCATCAGGCAAGAACCAATCTTTAAGGACAGAGATCACATGATCAAGTTCACAGAGGCATACCAAGAGAAACATGATATGTTTATCGCTCTTGAAGAAAAAGGAGATTTGAATGCTGCATATAGCTTCTACCCCAAGGCTGCAAAATGCTTCAAAGATATTTTGTCTACTCTTAAAAAGAAATCTAAGGTAAGAGAAGCATGGGGGGGGGGGGATTGTGTGCAGTAATGCTCCTCCTCTCACAAACGTCCTTTGTTGGTTTTTCTTTGGGTTTCATTTTTCCACAAAAATCAACTTCTAAATTTCATTTAGATTTGGCATTGAGGGCTTTTTGTTCAACGTAAAATATAATTACAGGGTTATTTCATGTCATGTGCACAAGTATTCAGATATTTTTGAAAATGGATTTTTTAAATTCCRTTTTCAAAAAAAATCTAGGTCACACGTAGCATTTTTGAATCTCTTTCACAAAGTAATCCAATTTCCAAAAACTCATTTCCAAGTACAATCCGGAAAAAGGAAAAAAAATTCGGATAAGTGTGGACATGCCATTCAACTAGACTCTTTCATATGACTTCGGTTCAGCCAGAGCTTAATGGAAATTCACCTCCAATTTTGGCTTAATATACCTCATTTCATTAATTTTTATATTTTGTTTTACATTTCTCAGACTTTCTCTTCGAGTCTTCCTGTTCATCTACGATGCTTCACTGCTGAATGGGYTTACACCAAGATGTGTTTCCTTGGCGTGGAAGTGCTACAGAAAAAGAGACAGTACGAAGAAGCAGTTGGCCAACTAGAACTTCTTCTAAAGCAGGATACGTATTGCGCTGACTGTCGGGGGCTGTGGTGGGAGAGACTTGCTTTGAACGTACACCAACATTTAAAACAACCTGACAAGGTAAGGAGCTTATAAGAGTTACTAAAGGTTGAAATAGTTAAAGAAATAGTTGAAGAAGAAAGGAATAATACTCATGAGCATAACACACGTTAGACATTAACATCACCATCCATTTAGTTTATCATGTTCTATTGTTAATTATAAAATAACTCTCATAAATCTGGCATTCTGATTGGTTAGGAGCACATGCTTTATGAGAACACACAGCACACACGCGCCCTTTGCATTTTGTAATGAAAGAAATCTGAAAACTTGCTTGCTGTGCTGTGTGAATTTATAAAGCACTTGAAGATTGACAAAGCATTCGAGAAGTGTCGAGAAGCACTCCACTGCACGTCGTGGTTCTCCTAACACTTCCCTCGTGTTCTACCTATCCTCGCGTGCTTTATAACTGCACACAGCACGCGCGCGCGTTTTCTATTTCTTCACTTTTAATTAATTTATCAATGCTAAAGGAATTCCTCATACTTTGAAATGAAAAGCACGGTAAATCTTGATTAATATTGCCAAGGATTTAATAATATTAAGCAAAGCAATCCTCTTTAGCTTGGGTGTGATGTTTTCCCAATTCAGACCACGTGTCATTCTCTAGAGTATCGTTTCTTTGTTTAACGGTTGCGCATGGGAAGAGACATGAATATGGATACAACTCAAACAAAGGATTTTATTCTCAAGGGAATAACACGTGGTTTGAAATGGGAAAACATTATGTCCAAGGTAAAGAGTTCTATTCGGGAGGCATCCTATCAGAGCTTTCTCAGTCTTACTCCAATTTTTTTTTTATTTTAGGCTTTACAAATCATACGTCAAGGTTTGGAAGATAGTCATGTTCGGTTTGGCCGTCGCTTGGCTCTTGTTCAGCGCGCCAAGAAGATTTTGTCGTCAGCTTCATTTAACAAGAAGAAGAAGAATATAGAGGAAAATGTTTGTGACATCGATAATGCACTCCTTGTTGAACCACGCCCTGCTGAAAGTGTAAGAAAACTAAGGGAGTTTTCTTTGTTAAAAGTGCTTTAAGGAAGGGGGGGTGGGTGGTTATCACGTTATTTTTTTTAGTCTCCCATCCCCCCTCCTCTCTCTCTCTCTTTTTGACCTGATGTTTGTTTCGTGGCGGATGAAGTCTTTCAAATAAACCACTCAATATTCTTAGGGTGCAATAACACGTTCATATGACGTAGTCTTTATATCGGCTTTTTACAGCGCGACGTACAAAATTAGTAGGACCGGCGATAAAATATTCTCATACTTTTATGCTTTTGTACGTCAAACTGATGTTTCGATGCGAAACTGCCTGTTTTTACCAAATAAGGCATGTAAAATAAAGCTTGTTTGACAGCAAAAAGCCAGTGCATAAAAGTATGCAATCGAAAGACAGATTATTTAATCTATCACGTCCTGTCTCCCGTCAGATAACAATCAGTGGTAAAAGATCAGCTGAACTTGGTAAATTCATATCCCACGAGGTGACTAAAACAGGACTCATCAAAGAAGACAGCATGACATGTCTTGGTGTGGAGGATTTTGCGTTATTTCATTACAGACAGCAGGGATATGATGAAGGTATTCACGGAGAAACATCRACCTTCACTACACTTTATGGTCTTTTCTTTTGGGATGTTTTATTTCTAGATGGGATTCCTGATGTCTTCAGAGGCAAGTTTCAGGTAGGTCGACAAAGAGAGCGTTTTTTTAGTCAGATCCTTGTAATGGTGTTGAAGATGATGTTTGTGGTTTTGGTGATAAATGCCGCTGCTTATGATGGAAGATGATGGTGATGCTGTTGTTGCTGCTGCTGCCAGTGACGGATGGTGTTGATGCTGTTGTTGCTGCTGCTGCCAGTGACGGATGGTGTTGATGCTGTTGTTGCTGCTGCTGCCAATGACGGATGGTGTTGATGCTGTTGTTGCTGCTGCTGCCAATGACGGATGGTGTTGATGCTGTTGTTGCTCCTGCTGCCAATGACGGATGGTGTTGATGCTGTTGTTGCTGCTGCTGCTGCCAATGACGGATGGCGGTGATGCTGTTGTTGATGCTGCTGCTAATGACGAATAGTGGTGATGCTGTTGTTGCTGCTGCTGCTGCTACCAATGACGGATGGTGGTGATGGTGGTATTGGTGGTGATGCTGCTACTGCCGATGATGGATGACGGAAATGATTTGATGGTGGTTATGAAGTTGATGATAGATGATGATAATGATAATGATGGATGATACTAATGGAAATGATATGATAGTCGTGAAGCTGATAATGGATGTTGATGATGATGATGGTAATGGTGATGGTGATGGTGATGGTGATGGTGATGGTGATGGTGATGGTGATGGTGATGGTGATGGTGATGGTGATGGTGGTGGTGATGGTGATAGTGATAGTGATGATAATGTTGATGATGATGATGATGGTGATGGTGATGGTGGTGGTGATGGTGGTGGTGATGGTGATAGTGATAGTGATGATAATGTTGATGATGATGGTGGATGATGATAATGGTGATGATATGATGATGAAGCTAGTGGCCGTGGTGTTGATACCTATGAAAATACTTGTGTGAATGATTGATATTGATTAAGATGATTATAATGAGAATGATGATAATTATCGAGAACGATAATGACGTAGATGTTAATCGGTAAATTGTACATTTTAGACAGCTCCTCTAGATATCAATTATGATACCTTCTACCCCAAGAGGAAACAAGTAATCGAACAACGGCTACAAGAAATAGAAAACAGCTCTACRGAGGTACATATTATTTTAGCTTAGTGCAGTTTTCGTATGACTGTGAAAAGTTCACGGCACGAACACGGTCGTGACACAGCAAGAGATACGCCAGACCAATCACATTGCACGAGAATTTACTCTCCATCCAATCAAATACCCGGAACACGGCATAAACACGGCGCAGACACGGTCACGCCAAGGTCAAGGCAATGCAAGACCAATCATATTGCGCGTAAAAAAACCGCTTACGGCACTGAGCTTTTCACAGTCATACGAAAACTGCTCTAAAAAAAACTTCAAATTACCGTTATAAGTAAAATTTTTGGAAGTAGACATTCAGATGAAAATTTAAGTGTAGAGAGCGACGTTTCGTTTTCGATCAGACGCCATTATCAAGCGAGTGATCAAAATATCAGGCAAAAATCACAAACTTAATGGCAATAAATTAACATAATGCTAAGCAAAGAGTTTTGCCCTTAGGGAGATTAAATGTTGATAGTCGGTCTTCTGTCTCTAATGTAGAACATTTTATACAACAAGCAATCAAACTTACTCTGACACTTTCTTTAGATAACAAAGTTCTTATTAATGTCTTTAGGTGCAATATCGTGTGCCTTTCTATAGTGTTTACCGATGCTTGAAGACATGATTTTAATGATAACGTGTTTTTTTAATATATATCACCAATGTGACTGTTCTGGCAATCGGTATGTTTAAGTCAATTGTAGCTAGCTTAACAACTATTCTACTACTTTTATATGATACAGGATCTAATAAAGATGCTTGAAAAATCTTGGGTCGAACATGAGGGGCATATATGCTCTGGTGTCAACTGGGAAAGGTTTGAGGACATACAACAAGCAAAGGTAACATCTCCTATCCTTCCTTCCTTCCTCCCTTCCATCCTTCCTTCCTTCCTTCCTTCCTTCCTTCCTTCCTTCCTTCCTTCCTTCCTTCCTTCCTTNTCCATCCATCCATCCATCCATACATACATAGATCCATCCGTCCGTCCGTCCGTCCGTCCATCCTCCTTTCCACCTTTCCACCCTTTCATTGCCATTTCTATTCAGTGAATTCATATTTTTTACGTGTGTAGTTGTGTGTAAAAATAATTAAAATCCCATGATCTTTCTTCATTGTTCTATTTCTATTTAGCAATTTGTATCGTGTATTGGAGGTAAAGTCTTGTCTGGTGTATTTAAACATTTCGCTGAAGACATGCGTCATTGGCATTCTGGGATGCCTGATTTGGTTGTCTGGAATTCCAGCAATCTGCAATACAGGGTGAGTTGATGATATTAACTACAACTGTATCCATTGATCCATACATTTTTCATATCCCATTCTATTCCATCCCATCTCATCCATTCTTCCATTTGTCCATCATATGATCATCTATCCATCCATCCATCTGTCATGTCCCATCCCAATTCATCCACCCACTCATCCATCCGTCCATTCATCCATATCCATCCATTATATTCTATCTCGTCCCATCCACCCATCCCATCCTCAACCATCCCATCTATCCACTTCTTCTCTACCTCCCTTTTTCTCCCTCCTTTCCTCCTTCGAGCTCCCTCCACCACCCCCCCCYCCCCCCCCCACACCCTCTCCCCTTCCAACAGAAGCGGGATAGTGAGTAAAATGTTTAATACAAAATTTAATATCTAGATTGTTGAGGTCAAGGGACCTAGAGATCGCTTGTCGACGAAGCAACAAATATGGTTGGATGAATTGGCTTCGTTTGGCGCCACAGTCGAAGTCTGTTATGTGACTGGTACGTTAGTAAAGCCTGTAGGTAAACGGTTTATAGTGTGTTGCATGACTTTATGTCATTTTTAATGGATCCTTTCGCAATGCTCCAGTTTCGAATTCTCTGTTGCTCAGGGCTAGTCTTGATTTTGTGCAGAATATTCATGTGTTCCAGTGGCTATATATTGTGAACATTAATCTACAACGTACGGTAAGGAGTCGGTAAGTTGCAATGAAGGACCGAAGACCGAAGGTATTCGTATTTTTGAAGTTGTGCATTCTTCACTTTACTGTTGGTATTTGTGAATATTTAGAAATTGATTCGAGGTTAACCCTGAGTAAATGAGTCTGGCATCAAAAAAACACAGCGGTAATTTGGAACTAGCCTGCACAGCCGGCGTTCTTGTGATGGGTTTGAGAAAGAATCGGCTTTTTGGGGTTCCTGTTTCGACTACGTGCCCGCGAGAAAAATGGGACCTAGCTTTTTTGCTCGGTTTCATATTCTCGCTCGTTCCAAATGTCCAAAGTTCCCCCAAAACCCCGGTTTTTCCCCAAACCCACAAGAACGCCTGCTTTGCAGGCTAATTTGGAACTCTAAAGTAGTCTTTTCGCTTGAGTCACCGGCCAAGACACATTGGTTCCAGGCCAAGGATGGACTTGATGTGTTCATACATTTACTGCATTTTATCAAGTCCGACCTCGCCTAAGAACCATTGTTTCGTGGTCACTCAATCAAATTCGGTAAAGTTCCATTGGGAAAATCCCTAAACCATTTTAAAATGATTATTGATAATTCTATTTCATTGTTTCATTAATTTTCAGATGTTGGTGGCAAGAAACTTCCGAAGGCGCAGTAAAACATGTCAGCGGATTATCATACAATRCATGCGTATGGTCAGTGATAATTGTTAATATTATGACAAAATTGATATGAAGTCCATGTTTTTTATATAATTACGCATATCTATGTTTATACTTGTCTTTTGTGTGTACAAAGTTTTTAAAAATATATATTGACTCATTATTTATGTATAATATACGTTCTCCTTCTTTGAGGTAATTTGGGTACAAAGTCGTACAATTATTCTTTTTTAAAGCGGCTTAAGACTTGCCTTTAAACCTTGTAAAACGGTTTTCAGTACGACTGACAACTCGTGTAACAAAGTAAAAGCCGAGCGATCTCTAGTCTTTACAACAAAACTTATGTATGAAAACGCTCTGTTTTTTCAATGACTAAAGATATGTTACTGAGTGCATTTTCTGAATTAATGGTCTACTTGTTGTGTACTCAAAGTTCGATTAGTTCTGCATTCTCTTCTTTTTCTGTCCGTGTAATACATGCATCGCCCTTTGGTCTTCTTTATTATGCCAGCCTTTATTTAGATAGTTATAAACATTTTCTCCTTCGAAAAGTGACAATCAGATCGATCGATTGCGAGAAAATGAGACTGATGATTTTTGCGCGCGCATTATATTACATCATGTTCGAATATTATGACATCAAAATGGATTTTTATATTTATTTTATTTTTTCAGTTTAAATCTTTATTTTACGAAGGTAACATAATTAACCTCTCAGTTATCTAACTTATGGCACTCGAAAACGAAACGTGAAAACGTTTTAACTTGAGATATATATAAAATAACTATGGGATGTAACAATATATACAAACAAAAAATAACTAGGCATAGAAACATAAAAATGGACATGTTTATGAAATAAGAGCAGCATGCGTATTTAGTGAAAGACGTCATATTCAACTTCATTCCTTTTATGACGTAAATATGGATTTTCGTATTGATATCAGTGGAAGACGTCGCATTTAGCTTCATTTCTTTATGACCTCAAACTGGATTTTATATCGCATTCAGTGGAAGTCGTCATCAACTATATCCCTTTATGACGTCAAAATGGATTTTTGTATGAATTGATTGGATGGAAGACGTCAGATTTAGCTTCTTTCCTTTGTGACGTCAAAGTGGAACTGCATTGGACGTTCCGCAAAGTATCTCAAAACAGTGTCAGTATGGTTCGAGAAGCCCAGACAACTGGAGTAAAATAAGATATCACATTGTCGTCCCGATATGGCGGAAGCGCTTCCTTCTGTCGAACAACCGTCGGACAAACCAAAGAGTAATGGCTTGAAGACAAACGTACCATTCACAGAGATTCCCTTAAACCACAACGCTGACGCCCATGATGAACCATTTTGCCGAATATGCCATGAAACTGGAGGAAAAAGAGGGCATCAAAGACTTATTCAGCCTTGCTTGTGTAGTGGGACGTTGGGCAACGTTCACCGAGCTTGCATTGAACGATGGCTGACGGTTACGAAGACCAATAAATGTACGATTTGTGAATTCCAGTATAAAACAAAAATGGTTCTCAAGCCATTCAATCAGGTAAGTATGTTGAAGCTTAACACATAATATGTTATTATAAAAATAATTCAAATGAATTTAAAAAAAATCAAATTAAGATCGCGCAACAGTTTCATAAAGACAGTATTAATAGTGAAATGTGAAAATAGTCCTCGTCCTCGTCCTCCTCTCCTCCTCTCCTCCTCGTCCTCGTCCTCTCCTCTCCTCCTCCTCTCTTTCTCCTCTCCTCCTCTCTTCCTCCTCCTCCTCATCCTCCTCCTCTCCTTCTCCTCTCCTCCTCCTCTCCTTCTCCTCTCTTATTTCTCCGCTTCCTCTTTTTTAAAGCAAAATAAAATATTTACACATTTTTCATCTTTCTAGTGGATGTGGCCTCCGTTCACAACCGAAAACATAGTGATCACCATCATTTCCATTCTAATACATCTGACGGTCCTCATCCAACTCTTTTGTCTAGTGTTCATATGCCTCCAGCTTTATCATGACAAGTTCCCGACAGCCCTTGGTGTGGCTATCACGGGGCTTGTGACAGGAATGCCCTGGACTGTGTTCATCGCTTTTGCGCTAGACTTCGGCATAATTTATTCAGATTACTTAAAAGTTTGGAAGGCTTCTAATGAGAGAGTGAAGCTGATTGTAGATGATTTGAAATTCTACCATGATCTCAATACTCTTCAATAAACTAATGAAGATATTGGTTGTTTATACATTGATTTGTTTTTCTCTGGGGAAATGGGTCAGTAATGCTTCCATTGTAAGAGGCACCGCCACCGCTATCCCCCACCGCTATCCCATAGTGTAGTGTTTAAAAAACGAGCACGTAATGGTTCTAACGGTTCTATGATATATACGTCATTTAGGTTCTTGAGTATATACCCGTCACCAATAGCAAGTGTCCAAAATGTATACAATTCTATTATGTTGGTTTGACTTGCATGCTTAGCAGCGCAAGAAAAGGGAGAGGAAGAGGAGAGTGGCCACGTCATCACCTCCCACCAACACACCGATATCACTAGCCTCCGTTGCAGACGTCCTGCGGGGTTCGGTTCGGATCCCTACCCCACATCCCTATCCCTATATCACAGGTAGCCCAGGCTTACCGTTAGTGTTGAATAACTGAATCGATCGAGAGACAGACAGACAGACAAAGATAATATGGGTATCATATGGGTATTTTTGAATCCTCATTTTTACGCTTTAAAATAATAAAAATCAAATAAAACTCCCACCGTGTGATGTTGATATATTGAACAGCCCCATGGTTTAATTACAGCTCATTTCGTTCGGGTTTAGATGACGAACGAAATGAGCTGTAATTAAGCCATGCATGGGGCGTTCTGAGCGTTTGCTGGCTATTCTACTTCTCTTCGTGGATTGATACGGGTACGACCACGATCCTTTGCGTTTAAACAATAGATTGKTTTGATGTGACGTCATAGTGAAATAGGACAATTATGAAGACATTTAGTGGAACACATGAATATTCTACGCAAAGTCAAGGCTAACCCTGAACTAAGAAGAACTTGAATGTAAATTGAAGTATTTAATATTAATGAGAACTAAACGAGTTATGCACTCTCATATTCCATTCACATTCCAACGTGAGTCTCGCTTTTCTCAATACGATCCTTCAGCTCTTGGACTTCTTTCTCTGACGTCATTTCTACTTGTTGCTTCATGTCTTGATGTCCTGATGACTTATTAAAGATGTCGGCTACCTTTCTCATTGCTCCAGCATAAGGACGACCACTAGTTGGTTCTACGTTCTCCCAGTAAGACCTTGTTGACCTGCAATAATACAAGTTTTGTAATATATAGCTATTTCGCGTCTGAATTGGCCAATGAATCTTTATTTACTTATTTTTAYATCAATATTTTGACAGGAAATATCCAATTTAACTGAGCTATCAATTCAAAAGGAGTCCTGATATTACAAAAATGAATTCGAATGAAATATTTCCAAACTCTCATTCAATCATTAGTAAAGTAACCAATAACAGAATTTTTTCGTTTTAGATTGATTTTAAATCCAAGAAGCTCCTCTATATTCTTGGCCTTGCGAGGCGGGCAACGCATTGAATGCACGTGCATCATTATACCTGAAACTTCCAATCTATGTTATCTACGTTACAACGTGGTTTCACTGCGGCAAAACTAAAGACATTTCTACTTTCGAAATATGATATCTTGCATTGTCATTGTTATGTTTAAGGGTTCAACGGTAATCGTGGTGTTATCCAACTTATTTTATTATAACTAAAACGTTTTACATACGTTGCTCCCCGCCATGTGGTCACACACCGCAATCACGTGACCACCACAGGTAGCCCAAACTACATAACACTCCTTCCTTCCTTATGAAAGTCAATGTTCTAAACAATCAACAACTGTTCCAATAATATAAACAAATTAAATYATAATGTCAAATGTTCCTATGACTCTGTGATCAAACGCTGAGGTGGTTTCCTCGCTCGTAGTGGGTAACGTCGACCTGATGAAGGTGGTTTAGGACTTGGTTTCCCTGCTGCATCTCTTGTTGATATCACCTCTGAGGGGGTTTCTTGGAGGGTCTGCCCTTTCGCTTCAGGTTGGACTGGTATAGG